CCCCCCCCCCCCCCCCCCCCTCGACACCCCACACCAACACCCACACCCTCAATATTTAAAATTGAATCAAGCTAGTAATTGATTGCGTGTTCCCTAATTTTTATTTTTCAGCCGACTTTTGTTTTCTTCAAATATTCTACAACCTAATAGTTAAAATAAATGAATTCTAATAAAAATAATTCGAAATCCTCTAATATAAACGATTCGATTTACATCTACAATTCGGTGATACCTGAATTTGGATGGAGTATAAAATACGATTCTAATATGTCGATTACGACTGTAAATGCAAACGCATCCATCCCATAAGTCTTGTTTTCGGTAATAAATCCAATGGAACTAAATCAGATGGCAGTAAATCGAACGCACGAATATTGAGTGACATAATTCAGTGAAGTGTACCTTTGCAGAAAAAAGAATAACAGAAAAAAAAATAAATAGATTGCAAATACCTTTATGTGATACTGCAAGAAGAAAAGTAAATCACTTATGGTGCATAATAGTGAAATCTGGATTTTACCAAGTATAACCTATATTCGTAGAAAACTTTTTAACTGCGAAATTATTGATTTATTCTCGAATGATCTATAAAAGAATATCGTCATACAAAACCTATTAATAACTTAAAGAATATCATTGACGAAATAGAATTTGAATAAGATCTAAGAAATATACTCTGTTTAAACAAAAATAAATTATTCATTTTCTATTGCGTTGATGAAACAGTCGGAAGAAAATTACACTATGCACAATAGTGCTGTTTTCATTGGAGTATTATGAATATTTTATTTCTGGCATTAAAACAAATAGGTTTACAGTGAATTGATACAACACAGTATTAGAATTATAAGATTTTCACTTAGGTAAGTGTCATCTGTCTCTCTATGTAATTGATTTATAAGAGTTTTAATTGATGGTTTAAGTCTAGGTATAGAATAATGAATCTGATCTTAGTTTGATAATTTGCAGGTTAATCATGAATCCCAAATAGTCTCGTGTTACAACGCACAAACATGTTAGTTCTTGTAACGTGTTCATGTACCACAAGTAACGTTCATCGACATCGAAGGTCGATTCACTGGGCCTAGACTGATGAAAGGATGACAGCCGGGCGGTTGTATTTTTGCAGTCATTCGTGCCATAAAAATGGTAATTTACACCATAACAATGGCCCTTTCTGCCATAAAAATGGTCATTTGTGCCATGGGAATGGTCACCTGTGCCATAAAAATTGTGATTCGTACCATAGAAATAGTCATTTGTGCCATAGTCATGGTCATTTGTATCATATAAATAGTCGTTTGTGCCATAAAAATGGTCATTTGTGTCGTAGAAATAATCATTTCTGCCATAACAATGGTTATTCGTGGCATAAAAATGGCCATTTGTGTCATGGTAATGACCATTTGAGTCATGGAAATAGCCATTTGGGCAATCAAAATGGTCATTTGTGCCATACTCATGGTCATTTGTATCATATAAATGGTCGTTTGTGCCAAGTGCTTGTTACAGACAGACAGACAAACAGACACAGGTGAATTATGGTTTCTAGACCCTAGCCTTTCAGTCTAAGGAACAACGTACCATTTCAAGCTCAGTTATATAAAATATCAAGTCACTCCAAGAATTATATATATACAAGCTTAGGCAGATAGTTTAAGAGAGAGCCTTTTGCTAATTGAGTCGAATCGATTGTTCTTGACATCGACGTGTTCTGTTTGTGATACTTTCATCTTGATACCTCTTAGCAGAATGTAAAAAGAAGTATTATATATGTAAAAATGAACGTAAGGCAGCTCAAACTAGAGTCCTGCGGGATAGTCCCGAATCTCGAAAAATCCCGTCCCGTGGAACATTTGAGATTGTTCCGAAAATTTTTTGGGACGGAATAATATAGAAAAAATCTATATCCCGAATTTTTTATCCTTATATGAAAATGTATGGTAATGTTTAATTGTTTATTTCCAACGCATATATTAATATTTGAACAAATAACAGAAAAAAAGTACAAAAAATGAAAGATTGAGAGATTTCTCGAAAGCAGTTCATCATCGCTATCTTCATCAATTGCCACATTATCGATTTCCTGAGATTCTGTTATTAACTTCTTTTATTTGGTTTTTTTGATGGTGTTGAATCAGTTGAAGTTAAATTAATTTTTCTTTTTGCATCTTGTTCAACTGCTGGAGAATAAATTTCTTTCAATATTCGCATATTTCGTTTAGTAAACAATAAATTATTAATTTTATCAGCATCTAAAACATGTATTTAACTCGAACAAAGAGTTAAAGAGTAATCCTCAGTCTTTATTTTATTCCTTCTCAAAATTGTTCCATGAAGCGTTAATTTATTTACCAATCATGAAAAAGAAATGATTTTTTCTTATTAGTTGTACGAAAAAGAGATGTTTTCTTCTTTGACAGAGTAACATCTTTCTATATTTTACGATCACCAAGGATAAACGAGATTGTACGAAACAGTTCGAAAATTTTCGGGACGCGACAATCGGGATTCGGGACATGAAAAAGTTTGTCCCAGCAGATCTCTAGCTGAAACCGCGATAAGAAGTCTATTGCATAATTTTTTTTTTTGAATTACTTGATAGCATGTCGAAAACATTAGAAAACAAGTACAGTAACAAAAATGAAAAATGTTAAATTCAAGATCAAGTGATAATCATAAACTAGGCATGGATTCAATTGATTTGCTTCATTTAGTAATACTCTTTTTAGAAATAGATTGATCTTTTTCCTTGATTATTCTAGATTTCAGAAAAAATATGCAACGATATTACGTTGCCTTTGTCATTTCATATGTGATGATAGTATGTATCGCATCGAATTCATCGCAAGTGTTAAGACTTAATGCAAAATCTGCTGGTGCTTCTGGTGCAATGAAACAAGTTGCTCAAGTTTTAAATGTATCAGTACCTGGTAATATTATACTGAACAAAGATCATACGATAGAAATGTTTGTTTTTCATTTTAGCAAATTGGGCTGATTACATGAGTTCAACTACAACAGATGGTTCAGTTGGACAAGCTGAAGTTGGAATTTCTACACTTGCTACAGTAATGGCAAGTTGGCTCATTCCCGAAGAATTTCGTGATCAAGCAGTTCGAAATGTTAAAACATTGATAATAGCTGCAAC